AAAAAAAGAACTCAACAAAATCAAACGAAGTACATTGATATTTATTAAAAAAACCTTTCAATGAACCTAAGAAGGCAGCAGAAAACAAATTCAAAAATAAATCTTGTGAGATTAATTTTAGCACCTACTGTGTTTTCAATAATTCTACTGAATACTTCGAAAGAGAAAGTTAAAAAACTTATAGAAATAGAATTTCTTCAGCAATAATTCTATTGAAAATTAGCATGAATATACGTTTTGTAGTCATGTTTACTATAGTACGAATAATTTTATTGGTTTTTGAACATTAATAAAATTTTACTGTTTCGATTATATAACTAATTTATATCGAATTTTGAACTCATAGAATTTTTTTTCTTTAAAGATTTTACATAAATACTTACTTAAATACGAATAATCAGGTAAATCTGTAAGTGGTCCATGTTCTTCATCATCTTTAGGTAATTTATGTCTAAAAAATAAACAATAATAATAAAATTATGCTTAAGTCTATTTATGAAATCTTACTGAACACGCCAATATCTATTTGGATCTGATCTTTTCCATCTAGTTGCAAGTAAATCTTTTGAAAAAGCACGTTTTGCAATGATTGAACAACGAGCAAGCATTTTATATATGATTTCTCAAATGAATTTTGTTGATTCGTTCTATTTCAAACTTTGACGACCTCTAGATCAACGCATTTTTATTGGTTTTCCATAAATATAAAACCATCATCGAGGCAATGAATATATTGCGTTCGAAGATGTCCGACATTTTGCACTCGATATAATTCTTTGTTAATGTCTATGTTTCTTTGATTATTATAATTTGTTTATGTGTTTTTTTTTTTTTAGATTTTAATTTTATTTTCTCGATTATATAAATTTATTTCTCTTTCTCTCATGGGTACAGATAGCAAAACAGCTATACAACAACCATCGTCGAAAGTAGCTCTTGTTTCATCATCGTCGTCATCATTGAAAAATATTAAAAAGAAAAAATCTAAAACTAGTCATCATAAATCTAAACATAATAAACAACAACGTTCAGAATCATCATCATCACGATCATCAAATGAATATGAACGTAATACAACAACAACTACAACGTCATCAAAAAAATCTAATAAAACAAAAAATTCTAAAGAAAAAAATAAATTACCTTCATCAAATGATACACGTCATCATGATAAAAAATCTTCAAATAATAAAAAAAAATCACATCGTTCAAAACATGATTCATCTGAATCACCACCAAAAAGAAATAATACAACACGAAGTCGTTCAAAATCAAGATCACGTAGTGATAGATCTAGTGACAGGTTAGTTGTTTAAATATTTTATTCAAAAATAAAAAAAACAACATTTCCTTTGAAATTTTTCTTTTCAAATAAACAAAAATAAATTTCTAATTTTAAATGTAATAATATAGTTTAGTGGATAGAGCTTGTTATCGCTATGGTTAATGGTTCGATTCTACTTTAAAGCAATGCAATGATATGATGAAGTTCTAAGAGATAGGGACATATGAAATTCAAAAAGAATTGCTCAAAATGATTTCATCATCTCTACTGATCATTGCAAAAAAAATCTCTCTGAAACAAAACACATTTATTTCTAATACATATAATCTTATAAGTTTATTTGTCCAAAATTATCGAACTTTTTTTGTTTTTCTAAATTCAAAATTTTTTGCTGTAAGAAAAACATTTGAAAATTTGTTATTTATATTAAATTTAGATCATCATCACGTGAATCATCATCACGTTATCGTCATAAAAATACATTTCGTCGTTCTGGTTCAAACATGCAAAATGTTTATTCTCCAATGCCACATTCAAATTTTCCTCCAAATATGCCACGTCATTATCCACCACCAAATGTTCTTCATGCTCGAGATGCTAGAATGCTTCCTTATATGCCACCATCAATGATGGGTGGACCACCTATGCGCAATAATAATGGTAATCGTCGATCAGGTGGTAATAGTCCACCACAATCTTTACTTGGTGGTTATCGACCACCACCTGGTAATTTTCGTGGTCGTGGTGGTTCAATGAATAATCCTGCTTATATTCATAATATGGCTAATATGCTTACTCTTATACAACAGCAACAACAACAACAAAAACAAAAACCAGGCTCACAAAAATATGCTAATCCAAATAATCCAAATAATCGTTTTTATCAACAATTTCAAGATAATTATAAAAAAATAAGTTCAGGACAAAAAATAAGTAATTTATATCAAGCATCATTTCCTGTTCAACATATACCACGTGAAATGCGTTTTAATTTTCGTTTACTTGGACGAAATATATTTACAGCATCCGATGAAGAAGAAGAACAACAACAACAACAGCAGCAGCAGCAGCAACAACAACAACAACAAACAACATCAACATCAGATAAACGTTCAAAACAACGACGTGATTCAAGTTCATCATCAGATTCTTACTCTGATAATGATCGTCGAAAACGTCGTGATGATGATGATGATGATGATGAAGAAAAATCGACAACAACAACAACTCATAATACAATGAAATCAAAATCATCACCAATACAAAAAATATCCAATGAACAAAAACGTTCATCAACAAAAAATAATCGAAATCGTTCATCATTAACAACAACACAACATTCTAAAACAAATCCACCTTCCCATGAACTTTTAACTGATACAGCTAATTTAAGTAACTTCTTAGCTGGTATTATGCATAGTGAAAATCCAGAAATAATTGCTAATACATTAGTCAATGCTGCTGCTGCTGTTAATAGTAAACGTGAACGAACAAAAAAACAATTAGAAAAAAAAGTACAAAAATTTAAAAATTATGCTCGATTTCAACAAATACAAGCAGCTGCTGGTGGTATTGTTCCACAAACAAATCCCGAAGAAGTCGAAAAGAAAATTCATGGTCTTGCTAGACGATTGGTAAGTTAAAAAAAATTTTGTCTTTATTTTTCAATTTCCATTCCGAAATAAAACAAAAGAGAACATTTTCAATGTTACAATTTAGAACATTTTCATATGTTATTTTACATTCGGACTAATATTGATAAGTTGATTCAATCCATCAATCACTGAAATAAAATTTAGTTTTTTTTTTTTTTTTTTTGAGCGATAAATTCTCTAATGAAGAAAGTAATAATGGAATTTGTACTAGAGCTTAACCTAGGTTTTTGAATCGATTGAATTAAACCAAAAACAGGGAAGAAAAAAAAATTTCTTAAGAAACTTCAGATGATCAAAAACTATGTAATGATGAGTTTTTACAAAGATTCAATTGATATCTTTTCAAGATTTTGTTGAAAAATGTCTAACAATATTGAAATAAAATTTAACATTGTTTGATTTATTTTTATATTAAAAGAAAACTGTTTGTGTATTTTGTTTTTTAGCAAATGAAAACAATTGGTTTACATGATGATTATGAATCACAAGGTATTAAACGATCAGATGAATCTAGCGGAGATTCCGATACAAATGAACGTCGTCATCGTTCATCTGGTTCAAGTACTGAACGTTCAAAAGATAAAGATGTTGGAAGTGATGCTAGTACGAATTCTCAAAAACAACGTAAACTTAAAAAAATAACTAAACGACCAAATAAAAAAGTAATGAATCTATATAAATAAATATTCTTTTTTTTTAAAGGTAGTTTTGAAAATATTTCTGTTTTTTTTTTAAGGTAAATCCTACTGGTCAATCAATTGGTTCAACTGATAGTGAACAACATCGTTCAGATGGTAATGATAGTGATGGAAGTATGCTTAATTTAAATGAAGATCTTAAACCAATTAGTTATTATATTAAAAATCGTGAACGTATGCTTCGTGAAATGTTTCGATGTGTTCGTGGCCACAAACTTCAGGCTATTTTACCAGATGCACTGAAGGTAACATTGAAAAAAGTGTATGATTGTTATTATTATTATTATTATTATTATTATTATTATAATTATTATAAAAAGATAATAGTGAGACTAATGATAACAAGGAAAAATCGAATGAGTTTTTTTATTTTATTTTTCACAAATATTTTTTGGTCTAATTTCAATTTACATAAACAAATTCGTTTGATAATCGATCCTTGTTTTAGATTAATTTATATTTATCTATCAGGCGCATTCAAACAGCATCGAAATTATTATCGACGAAAGTGTTTTTTTGTTTTTCTTTTAGAAGGTTTTTATTTGTGTTTATATTATCGTCCCCTATCCTTCAGATATACATAATTGGGAAAATAAACATTTTTCTCTTCTTTTTTAATATTCTAATTTTCGTTTAATTTATCGTAAGTATAGTTTTGTTTTCATGCGAGTCATTTTTATTATTTTT